GTGATAATGTTAAATTTAGTTTTATTAATTTTCTTATTTAAATTCAATTTTTTGAAATACAAATAAAATAATGTGATTTTACTAAATTATATCAAGGGAAGATTTAGGTAATTGTTGCAGATTAGAAACTTGTCGCGGGCGTGCTTTGGACAGCCCTGATATAAAATATGATATGGAAAATTACTCTTAGTTTTGACTCACCATCTTATCAAATACATTTGGTAAGATAGTAATAATAAAATAATAAAAAAAATTAATCTCTATTACTTTCTAAAATTTACTAGAAGTTTGTTATAAGGTGTTAAATTTAAATATAATCTTTGGGTTTAACTTATTATATTCACTGTAGAAACAAATGTTTTAGTAATAATTAAGATGTCGTTCTTCTTTTAGTTCTTTGTATTTGAAAGAACGTAATACGCTTTATTATATTCTATTACATTCTTGTCTCTTTTATTAGCGTGATGAATAGGTGGTTTCTTGTACTTGTGATCTCAAAGCCGTTCTTCTTGTAATCTGAATACTGTTCTTGACTGTCTACAGTAGTTTCTTTGCTTTTAAAAGTGTTTTCATAGCAACAGGATAATAAAATAGCGTATTCAGCATGCTAATTGGATTACATATTCCGATTACTGGTTAGGCCTGTTTTTCATTTTAACCGTTAATCAGTGTTACACACTTTACTGCGTGTGAATGCGAATTACGGGTTTAAATTTGTTGACTTTGAGATTTAGAGTGCATTACTTAAACTTCCTAATACTTAAAAATAAATCTTCTTCTTCTACTTATTTGCCATTGCAGTCCAGTGTGAACATTAGCCTCCCTTACGATCTGCCCGATCTTCTGCTACTCTCTTCCAAATCCGTACTAAAATCGTTCTTGTATTACATGTTCTCATCGCACCTTGTTCTTGTTTATAAAAATAAATATACTCTACAAAATCAGAATATATGTATATTGCATTTAGATAATTTACATTTTAGTTAAATATTAAGTTATTTAACATATATTTAAGTTATTTAAAATGCTTGTTCATTCACAGATAAAATAAAAATAATTTTTATTTTTATCCCATAATAAGAGTAGAATAGCTTAATATAAAAATAGAATAAGATTGTTATTGCTTAATATTATGTTAGAGTAAGCATTAGTGCTTTCTTAATGCTATAAATCACAAGAGCAGCTTTCATATATCTTTAGTCAAGACAATGATTAAATATCTAACATAAAAATGTTTGTAAAAATATTTCTAAGAAATAATTCTTTCGTACTTTATGTTTAATTATCATTATTAGAATCTTTGTTTAGCTAATGAGTAACTGTATTAAGTCAGTGAACTTCGAAAATATAATATCTGTAACTTATTTTATAACCTTTTCTTTAAGTATATCATATTTGTCGTAACATTACCAACGCATAGACTCATATATTAAAAAAGTGTAATAATCACAATTTATTTATATTATACGTTAAATAAACTTTATATGTTTCTAATTATACTATAATGTTTATAAAAATATATATTTGTTGTAACATAATAAATCGTTATTGTATTGATAATTCAATTATCGATTGCATCAATTACACTCCCCTAAAAACAAAAACAAATCAATGTCGTACTCCAAAGACTGTTAGGAACAGAAAAGCAATGATTAGTCACTGTTAATGACAGTTTAATCATTTGTTTTTGTAAAGAATTATCTATGAACTGATTTTGGCATTTCGTCATTAATGAGTTGAGTTATTTATACTTATCTACAGTGAAAGTTTGTTTTTTAAATTACATTGAGAATTCGATGCTTTTATGATATTTAATATTTAATAAAATTTTTCTCATTTATAAAACAAATGACTTTTCTTTCATTGTTTCTTGTCAAACCTACGCCTACCTTCACCAATTATTAATGTGAAAATAAATTTGAACACGATTCCTTCTCGTGGTTATATACAAAAATTAATTGTTTTTAAATAAGTCAAGTAAAATCGTTACTTGTCAGTATTTATAACTCATTTTTCACCTTGCAAGTGTTATTTTTTTATTCGAATTATTGTTTGTTTTGTTCATTTAAGTATGATTTCCCTGAATTGAAATGCTTCTCACTAAGAAATTGAAACCTTTGTAATAAATTGTTTGTCATTAATTTCAATTAATTTGATTTATGGTGTACCATTACAAAAACAAAAAAAAAAAGAAAGAAAGCAAAATTTAAGGAAAAAAACCTTAACAGTGAAGCAACCGAAATCAGAATAACCACAGAGAAATAACCAATTGCCATGGACACAGATTCATTGGTTTCAGTATGCAAACAAGTGTGCCATGGTGTTTTCATATAAAAGTCGAAATAATGGTTGAATACAGCACTTTTTGCCTCCAGGATCTTTAATGATTATAATTTTGATTTTCTTCATTTTCCATTTATTTTCCTTGTACTTTTTTAATTTCTTGCAAGTTCAAGAGCTGCTACTTGTGATTTATTAAGAAACTCTTTTGGGTTAGAAAGTTTTGTGAATTCCAGGAAATTGTTTGTGACTTCAACTTAATAAAATAAATTATCTCAATTTATTTATGATTTGTGTTTGTAATTGTAGTGATTATGTTAAGTGCGATAATTAAGCTGAAGTTAACTGGTGGGCGTAAGAAAAGTTGAAACGAAAATGTAGAGCATTTAGTTTGCAATTTGAATTTATTTGCAAAAAGTCGAATAGTGAGAGTACGTCAAGTTTTAAAATAATTTATTATTATTATTATATAAAATTTATAATTTTTTTGCTGCAAAAAAAAAATACGTTTTTCTTTATATATTAATTCTTGACTAATGTCAAGCTAATGACATGTATGATACTATTGAAATACAAATCCTTTTTTGTATTAGATTATAAATCCTAAGGATAAAATACCTTCCTTATAAGCAAATATAAATTTTTTAAAATATTTTATACTAATTATATGGTTTTATTATATATCAACCATTATTAACCAGCTTATATCATCTTCTTAAACGATATTATAATAAATATTCATAAAGGAATAGGTTAGGTTATATCGACCGTTTTATTAAAAACCCAAGGGTTAAAATCATCTAGATCCTTTGGCAAAGCTTGTGATGCTATTTAAGGAGAGGTCCTGAAGTTCACCAAGATCCTCGAAAAAGAAAGACCCTAAAGTGCTAAGCGGCGTCACGCTTATGCCAAACAGGAAAAAAGCAGGTGGAACGCACCTTCATCGTCCTCACCACAACTGTGGTAGATATGGTTGAAAGGGAGATTTAGTCTCTTAGCATGGTTACCTAGAATACAATGACCTGTAAATAAACCAACTTAAAAGACTGATATTTCTACGGGGCATATCTTTGAGAGAGTTTGATTTTCTTCTATTGGTGTGTGGATAAATAGCATACAAATGCTAGCATATCGCTCATTCTTCCAATCTTTTATTAAAAAGTTCGACACAGGAAGAACTTAATACCATTTTGCATGGTGTCAAAGAAATGTTGTTTAGTTGTTTCAAATGGTTCTTTGAAGCAGCCCGTCTTCAAGGGTATAATATGAATAATTAATATGACATTTTTTTCATCATATTAATATTAGCCATGGCTGCAGTGCTCCGTATCACTGGGACCAAGTTCTCTGTCTATGCTATTATTATTCATTTGTTATGTTCTTCGATCAAAAATTGACAGGAGATGTTTCCATACAAGTAAATTCAATTAAATTTTTATTCCATGCTTGCAATAATAAGTATTTTACTACTCGATATTTACTTGTAATACTTACTTGGTATCAAAATACTTATACTTTTAATCTTTTATAGGTCACGTTTTTTTGCACTATATAATTGCAAAAATTTGTTTTACAAAAATCAAAAACAAACCTCTCTATTTTTTATTTTAGAAATATTAGAAAGTACTAATAAGTGAACACATGCGAGCACAAACACAAAATAATTTTGAATAGTATTTGGCCATGAGTTGCCATCAGGATGCGATGATTTATAACCACCGCTGCAGAATGCAGTTGTGGTCGCAATTGTCTGTGTCAGATAAAATATTAACTGAGGATGTTATAGTGTGAAATATTATTGCTATGAACATTCTGTTCTGTACTCTGCGAATCTAACTGAACGAAAAAGAAGGTTTCATTAATTTTGATAGTTGACATCAAGCATGGGAAGCCGTCGTGTTTGACTTAAACTCACTAAAAGCATCTCTTAAATATATGTTGTGAGAGTTTTGGACTTTGATCCAAAATGATCCATAAGAATCACATTTCAGTATTTATAGAATAAAATATTAAAGTCTAAATATTTGTATATGCAAAAGTATCTTAGTCGGGAATGAGAACCAAAATTACGTTAATTATAATGATTGTTAAATAAGGGATAGTGACCCGTTTAGAAATTTTGAACGTAGGTAATTGCTATAACTGCATTTGAACAACGTAATTTTGGATGAGAAACGGAATGCTTTATCAAAAAATAGAGGAACATAATATGGAGTCAGTCTGAAAGAGCACGGTACAGCTCGGAAGTACGTAGGGCCTTAGTTGCGAGATTGTAGTGGCGAATGATATATCTGCTTGTAAGATTATATATATATATTTAGAAAGATTAAAGATATTAAGTGCACACACATAATTTGATAGAATTCTCTTCTTATTTGGACTTAGCTAATGCCACATCGGATTGAGAATGAAGCTGTGTATTGTAGAGCAGTTCAGTAAGGATGCCGAGCAGTTCAATTTGAACATACTTTAAGTTGGTATTCGAGATAATCTGTCTTAGATTGTGACGTGTTAAATAGCATTTTTCGAGTGAATCTATCCGTGTTGTCATTAAAGATTAATTTTCAGAATCAAATTAGTCATGTGAGAAGTTAGTCCTTATATCTTTGTTGTTTGAACTTAAATAATAAAAAATTGAGTTCTATAAAATGAATATTTTATAAGAAACGTCTATATGTCTTTAATTTTGTAATTTCTAACTTTTCATTTTTATTTTTCAGATTTGATATTGAATTCTGCGGAACATACTTTAATCTCAAATTGGTAAATACAACATATTTTTATATATATTATATCATTTTTTTTGAGTTTTAGTTATATAAAAATAAGCAATATAATACTTATGTTAAATATTCTTACCAAACAATTTCAGTAAATATTTTTTAAAATTATTCATAGTATATAATTTTCATCAATAACATATTATTGGTTTAGATAGGTATCAAATAATTAACATTATCTTCAACAAATTTAGTTGGAGCCTCGTCTTTAATGGAATTGTTAAATGACGGAATCTATTGCTGGTTTTATGAAATAATATAGAATTGCAGAAAATTCTTGGAGACACATCGTTAAATGTTAAAACAGTTTTGATGAGTAAAAATTTATTTACAGTTTCATTCCAAATGCTGTCCTGGTAATTGACTCACCATTTATTCTTCATTAGCTTACCAAAATTCAATGTAAAGTGTATGGTGGCCGAAGTTATATTATTATAGCATTAATATATTCTCATTATAGATTATTTGGAATACGTAAGTTACCTTACTCTGTATCTTAAAGTGTGTATACAAAACCTAATTATTTGTCATCCACTGTATTTTTTTCTAGTTCAGCTTTATATAAATAGATGTTACTATTTAATAATAATAGATACCAAAAATAAAGAATTCATACATAAAGAATTCCGAATTTTTACGGGTTGAGATACAAAATATTTGTTTAGAATTTAAAAACTTTTTATTTCAGTTTGTTTCTTTAAAACTTAAGTTTCGTCTCTAAACAACATAAAATTGCATTGCAGTCTAATTTTGATATTTGCAAATTTTTATCAAAATATTTCTTAATTCTGAATATTAAGTTGAATGTTATCTTAAAAAAGTTTCTATTAAAAAGAATCAGAAACTTTATATTTAAATTTAAGGATAATTTAAATATGAACCGATATGAACATGAAAAAAAGAAACTTAAAATTATTACCTTTCTACAGTACAGCAATCATGAGTAATGCAATTTTTCTTGTAAATTGGCAGCTGTCAGTTAATCGAACAAATTGACATTTATTGATTAGTACTGAAATATAAACTCTGTATTTAAAAACAAAATGGCTTTGAAGTAAAAAAGTAAATAATAAAAAATGTTTAAATATTAATGAAAACTTACCTACTAAATTAGACCAAGAAGGGTAGGTGTAGACACTGGCTTTCCTTATTTGGAAGCCGCACACATAGTTTATGACTCAATGGGAGTCATAAACTGTCTTAGGGTTCTGTTAAATGTTTCGCAGTCAATTGACGATCTTGTAAAACCCTTTCTTGTGTTTTTCCAAAGGTTTCTGGCAGTTTTAGAATATACTTTATGTGGATCGTCTTTAGACCTTGTGTAACCATTTTTAATCAATACACTTACAGACCATTGTTTTTAAAGAATGTATTTAAAATTTTGGTATATAGTTCCGTTTTCCTGAAATTTTGTTTTTAAGGAATGGAGTTAACATACTGTACAATGTTTTCTATATTTTTAAAAAGACACTGACATGTCAACATTATATAGGTTCTAAGCAAGGATTTAGCTTAGAGACTAGAATGGATTTGGGCTATGTTCTTAAAAAATAATATGTTAAAATGGCGTTAAAGTTTTGATACTCTTTCGATGAATATACCTTCTCCTCAAAAAGTACTCGGATTTTGTAAATAATTTAAATTTAATTCCAAATTTATTTTAAGTCCTTCAAAATATGTTCCTTCTGAAGCGATATACATATGCCACCGCTTAACCCAATCTTCCATACACTTTTCTTAGGCCCGTGAAGGTATGGCTTTTAGTTCCTTCAGCGAATTCTCTTTTACCGATTCAATCGACTTAAAACGAAGAGGCAGTTTGAGTTTCGGGAACATGAAAAAGTCGTACGGATCCAGATCTGGCGAATATGATGGCTGAGTGATGACAGTGGTGCCGTGTTTGGTCAAAAAATCGCGTACAACAAGAATTTTTGAGGTAGTCTCACATTAACAGCTGCTGTAAACAAACTAATTGACAGATGGCGCTCAAATTTGTACCATATATCAAGAAAGAGTGTACCAACATAACAAAAAAATTTTTTGAAAAAGGTCTATTACTTAAGGAGTAGTTAATAAACATCAAAATCCGGATACTTTTTGAGCAGAAGGTATGGTGCTCCTCAAACCTTTGGATCAACCTGATAACAACATATTTTCAACTTTAACTTCTTTTATGACGAAATTTAGATGATGGTTTTTTTCTTTTTTGCTTAGTTTTTCTCTATTTTATTATGCTCCGCTATCCAAACTATATTTTTGTCGATGCACTAATCTGTATCTTTTAAATATTGATTCTACCTTGTAGAGAGTCGGAGGCGATGGTCTTTGTGTTTAAAGTCATTGTACTCTTTGATATGTTAAAGTTTATTTGTGCATTTGTGGTGTGACCCCATACTTTTGCTGTGTTTTTCGACAGCTTTATAAACCACTGACTGGACGACTGTCTGTAAAGCAATGACGAAAACTCGAAATAGTGAGTTTATTTCTAATTCTTTTTATAGTAAAATAACTCAAAGAGAAATTAAAAAATAAATAATTTCTAATTGTTTTATATTATGTTTTGAAATAAAATAAAATAATTTTAAAACTGCATAACAGCGAATCGTTACCACCCTCTTTTACAGCAGCTGGCCGTTGTAGAAAAATAATAAAAATTTAAATTTTATGAGGCGAATTTATGCCCTTTTTAGTGCTCATAACGTAAAACTCAAAATTGCTAGCTGGAGGCGCAAGTGGTGCAATTTTATTACATTGCTGTGCAATGCGGCATAAACTACTTACAATAGGTTCAACAGTCAGCGGAACAATAGTAACAGCAACAGTAACAGCAATAGTAAGTGCAACAGTAGCAGTTGCAACAATTTCAGTTGCAGTTCGCAGTTGCAGTTTCATGCTGAACTATTGCAATATTCATTATAAGTTGACTGCATTTCAGCGACTACAAAGAAAACTTTTCTCCACTTTCGCATCTCGCAGCTCGCAGCTCGCATTTTGTATTTATTTAAATAAACTTTTTAATGTTTCACTTCACAATACGCTCGTACTTCACAAAAAAAAAAAAATATGTAATCTCATATTTCATATTATAATTCAAGTGAAAAATCTATAAAAATTGTTGAGTTACTTACAAAATAAGTCGCATCACTTCAACAGAAAAGTGTTTCGCAACGCGGTTGCGACATTGATAAGGCTCAACTGAGAAGATTAATTTGTAAGCTTTTCTCTAGCAAAACATCAGATATGAGCATTTGATTAAATTACAATCTGCAGTTGCAGTTGCTGTGCCACAACTGCAACACTGCATTTGCATTTTGCTACTTCGCAACTTCAAAAATTAAAAAAATTAAAAAAAAATTTGTAATCATGTAAATTATTATTATGTAATTGAATTAAGTTAATCATCGCTGTTTTTACTAAAGCCGTTAGCAGATACTTTTATCAAAATTTGTGTCGTGACTGGTTTGGCGTTTTCCCGGATTTTCAGTTTACAACTAATTGCTTTATTGCTTTATTGCACAAATTGGAAATTTTGAAGTACATTTGCATGACAAAGTTAATTTCAGCACTCAACACAAAGTATTTTCGGATTCGAGGTTTGAGGAATGGTTGCTTTCGATTTAGTCAAATAGGTCACATATATTTATGACGAAGCGAATAAAAATGTTTGTGTGCTTCCGTTAGAACCACTCTGGAATAATAATGAGGTTTTGCATGTGAAGAGTATTTCATTTTGATTGTGTTGTATACACTGTTATAGTATCAAAATTATTAAATGTGAATGCAAAACGTAAATATTCTTTCATTAATTTGATTTCATTTGTCAATCATTGATTTAAAGCGTTATTAGCTTTAATGTACTATAATAACATAAAGAATTTGAAATCCGCATATAGCAATAACTAACAAAAAGGTTGGAAGTAATCATTCATTACAGTGTTAATAAGTTATTTATTATTGCAGCACGTATTAGTCCATTTAGTTACTTAAAATTTCAATCATTATGATTTACATAAATTATTGCATACAAATGTTTAGTGAGAGTTTCAATTCGCCACACCCAGCACGCTTGAGTATTCTTTAGAAAGTTGAAGATATCACAGACGAACTATCACATAAGTCAATCAAATCTGATAAAATTATTTAGATAAAAGAGTCATGCAGAGTGACACAATAACTTTACCCATTTCTGTGATGAATGAAATGATCTCACTTCTATATTATCTCTGAACGAGATTAAGAGACACAAAAACATGTCTGACGTTTTAATGCTAGGAAATACTGACTTCTACGGATACTATATAGCATATGAACTGGCTTAAAAACGTGCTGTCATGAACTGTATCGGTTAGTCCATATATAATTACAAACCAATCAATACCTGTAAATTTATCATATAGTCTTAAGTTTTCAAAAAAATTGAATCAAATGGTAAGACCAACAAAGTTAGTCATGAATAAACTAAGATAGAATTGAGAATCTAATTAACTAAAGTAGAAACATAATCGTCAATATTCTATTCTATCGATTGTAGTAGGTGTGCACATAAACTATGGCTTTCTAACTGATGAGCTTTAAGACCTTTGCGTTGTCTGTGAGACGTTTTTTTTTGTTTTTTTTTGTTTTTTGACAGTATGTAGAAGCATCGAAAGTCACCGTGTGAGACTTGAGAAGTTTTCCACAGCATTGTAAAAACTTCATCTCAGTAATCAGGGGTGAGGTTAGAGCAGATGAGCGGGGATGAGGTTAGCGGTAAACTTTGTGACTGGAGTCACGAAAGCCGCAGTTATATAGGGGAATAGAGTGGAGGTTACAGTCCCATTCATCGAGGTAGTGGGACAGGTATTGGAAAGGATTAAAGCGCAAGGCTAGAACAAGATCTTCAGGGAGGGTAATAGGAATAGAGACGTCAGAGGGGAGGTCATGGAGCCGGGTGAGATACCTACTTCTGATATCAGTTTCAGATAATTGTTCGAGCCTTGAAAG